ACTCTCAGCAGCCCACTGACCTCAAGTGCAGTGCAGATCTTCATTCCCTAAGAGGAAGTCTGGCTTTGCATTTCTTATGAATCAAATGCCCTGTGTGCTTTTCTGAGAGATATTTACGGGAAGAAAATATACTGGGTTGGATATTAGTTCTATTGCTGCTGATGTAAATCTAGATTAAATGCACTGTCGACCACCAGAGTAAAATTTTCTTTTACGTTTTTCCCCCTCTCCTCTCATTACCAAAGCAAGTAAGCAGGGGTCACTGAGGAGGACCAATTGCTTGTTTTGTGTTTTGCAGTGCATACTGACAGTGTAATTTTTCCCTCCTGTCATCAGCATGCAAGCCTGTTTCCACATTTATGATGGGAAAGCATACAGTCTGAATCAGCGAGGTACAAATAATACAGTTCTTGGAAAACAAAGGGTAGCCTGCAATGTGTCTTATAAAGAAGCTCAAACACTTCTTTGTCCCCCTGACACTGTAAAAGAAAAAAACCCCAAACCCCTAACCTCCCAAAAGTAACCCCATTATCCTCTTCAAAGTGGCAATAACATGGAGAAAGTTAATAAAGGCTCCTGCAAGCTTAATGGGCAAAGAGACTATAAAACAGAACAGAATGGTGCCGATGGATTTCATCTGCTACAAATTACTATCCAACCGTATGATATTATTGATTTGCTTGCACTATATCAACTTTAAATCACCATAAACCATTGCCTAACACAGTTCTTCCACTAGCCAAGTGTTCTTAGAAGACAACTTTGATTATCTGGCATGTCTCCAGAAAGCTCTAAGTTTGTATGAGATGACACTGATACACAGACATAGGCTCCACAAAATTATTTATAAAAATCAATTCACGCAAAATTGGTAAGGCATTGTATTTTCAAAAGTTTATTTTTAGATGTTTTAAATTTGATGCTGCATCAGTTCATACCGAAGAACAAAAATCCCCTTCATTCCAATTCTGATGGAAATAAGTTTAAAGGAAAAATAATGCAACTGGATTTAACTCTTGTAAATATTCACAGACCACCAAACAGTGAAGTCCTTCCATAAAAATATTAAAACTCCCCAAAACTGAAATAACTAATAGAACTCTCTTGGACTTATGCCCATCCTTGTGAGGATGGAAAGCCTGATCCAATCCCCTAATCTGAATTTCAACTGAACAGCCTCCTATCATGGCTCTTAAGAGTTTATCAGATGCTGAAACTCATCTACCAGAAAAATGTATTGGATTGAATAACTCAATTTTGAAAGAAACAGTCCAGAGGACTAGTAGTTAAACCCAGGAAGTTTTACTAAACAAATTAATGAAAATTAATTAATTAGTTGCCATGTAGTGCTTTGCTAGATGCCTTGAATAAATCTGAGCTGATTTATCAGTGAAGTGCATTTGTGTGGTAGGTATTCAAATTAACTGTCATTAACCTTATGCTACAAATGAAGGTGCCTGGACACAGAAGGCTTTCCAAGGTCACATCTGAAGCTGGAATTCCAACTCAGGCATTTACTGACTTTCAATAATTAGATATAATTTTTTACAAAAACATTAAAGAAATTCATGACCTGGAAAGGCACCATCACTTCTCTAACCTCAGCTTCAGAAGGCAGGAATAATTTGAGATGACTGCTAAAGAATGATTCAAAGGAAAGGAGTCACCCACCAAGCCTGGGATGACACTATCTAAATTCTGTTTTAGTATATTATTATTTTTCACCCCTAGTATCTGTATGACAATTTGATTTATTTTGGATGATTTACATTACAGTTAAGTGACACCTTACCCTGCGTTTCCAGCAAAACCCATAGACAAATATGGTTGTCAGTGAATGTCTAGGAAAATGACAATTCATCTTTGTGGCAATTAACGTTATGATAAGAGGTGGGGAAGGGAAAATATATTTATTGTATAATGAAAACAGCTTTTGAGAGATTTAAGCATTCTGCAATATGGACTATAAAAATATTAACCTCCATAAGCTTCATGCTTACAGCAAATATTTTTGAAAATGTATTGGCTATGCAAAGAAATTTTTGCCATTTATATTCAGCAAATATCAAGAACTGCATTTTTTTCCTTGGGATGGTAAAATGTAGGTTTTGTGTAAAGAAGCATTAAAACATGGATTATTTTTTCCTGACCTTTTCATAGGCTTTCTATTGAGCTTGGTAAGACACCCAAGAAATTCAGATTCTGACTTTAAAATTAATGATTAATACTACAGAGCTTTTACAGTATTGAGTTTGCAGTGCCAAATTCCTCTAACATGAGCAAGTGCAACTCCACATACTTCAGTGGAACTGTGTTTGCATATATTAGCAAGCAATTTTGGCTCTGTGCCTGGGAAAGGATCTTATATTTCATAGTCACTTGATTATGTCTCATCTTTAAACCACATTTTACTATTTGCAAAATACTTGACCCACAAAACTATAGAAGCCCATCTGCTGAGACTCTACTCTGCATCAATAAGTAAAAATGATGAAACTATTTTAAGTGAAAAATTTAGTGTAGAAGAGACATAAATCTATTCTAAATAAATATTTTCTTGTGTAGTCTGATGAACTTGAAATTTGGGGCTCAAAATTTCACTTGCACAAGAAATCAATTTCTTCAAGATACTATTTACTTACACTCAAAATAGTCCTTAAAACTAAAAGGGCAAGTTCCACCTAATAGAACTCATCCTCAGAATAGTATAGGATGGACCCACAGACTAGTACTGGCTGTCACAGACATACAAGAATCAGTTAAGAATCAGTTTCTATTAATCTGGAACAACTTAATTGAAACAAAAATATTAGGTATTAGGCCAAAGATGTCTATTGTTACTATCATCACTTTGTTGGTGGGGTACCTAAAGATGATCACATAATGTTAAAAATGTCTAATGTAGTGTTAGGCTTGTAAAACCAAAACTAGATAACTATAAAATGAGACTAGATGTGGCACTTAGTGCCATGGTCTAGTAACGATGGTAGCGTTGGACTCGATGATCTTTGAGGTCTCTTTCAACCTGGCTGATTCTATGACTCTATGATTCTATAACTGCTCTTTGGGTGGGTTTCACAGAAGCAAAGTATCACAGCATGGTTTGGGTTGGAAGGACCCTTAAAGACCATCTAGTTCAACCCCCTGCCCTGGGCAGAAACAGAGTCCACTAGACCATGTTGCTCCAAGCCCCATCCAACCTGGCCTTGAACACTTCCAGGGATGTGGCAGCCACAATATCTCTGGACAACCAGTGCCAGTGTCTCACCACCCTCACAGGGAAGAATTTCTTACTAAAATCTAACGTAAACCTGCCCTCTGTCAGTTTAACACCATCATGATTCTTTCTTTTCCCAGATAAGGGGGTTGTGGGTTTGGTTTTCCTGGAGGTTGCTTTTTTTGTTTGGTGGTGGTGGAGTTTAACTATACCCCTAAAAGTTATTTTTCCTCCTTTTATATCATTACCTCTTATGGTATTTTTAAAACTATCTACCTAGTTATTTTTAACATTTTAATAATTCTTTTAAACCTGTCATTGCAACACGTTGTTGCAAATCTGTGGAGAATGTGACTGCTATAATACTAGTCACATATGTTTATTGCGTGGCATGTGTAAGACTACAACTCTGACTGAAACTATAACTACAAATATTGTGGAGGGGTTTTCCATTTGTTTGAGGCTTGTTTTTTTATCTCTCTTTATATACCTACTGGCTCTTTCCTTTTTCATTGCCACAGCTCCAGTTAAGAGGAGGCAGTAACAAATCTTTGCATAATACACAGGGGTCAAGACTGAAAGTTGCTAACAGTAATAAACCTTACTGTATTCAGCATTGTACAGAATCCAACCAGAGCTTTTAAATCCTTGGGACATACCATTAGGCACCTACAAGTTAAGTATTACAACAAACACTTGATTGCCAGACTCAGAATGAGGTACCTTGACTCCTTGTTTTGTACATGGCAAGAGTGAGATGCTCTAGAACAGCACCTTACGCCCACTGAAAACACACACCCACACATCTTTTGTCAGGGAACTGTCTAGCTTTAGTCAATAGTAACCAAGAAACCATTACTCCTTGCTTCAGCTTAGGCATAACAGAATTAGGATGAGGCCTGTTTTAAGAACAGAAGACATTCAAAGGCATAATTCAATACTTGTCAATTCAGTACTTCCTAATAGCATTTTCCCATACCTTGAAAATATGTTGCAAAAGGGCTACAGAGTCTTCAAAACAATGCTAGTACAGAAAAGTCAATAATGCAACACAATATAATCAAGCAATTCACTGAGTTATGTTTGTCTTAAAGAAACACAAGCATTTTTCATAGTTCTTGACCTGTTAAAGGGCAAACGGAGATGAACACTATCATCATTTTAATAAAAGTCCATTCAGGGAGAATCCAAGGTTTCAATCATTATGTCTTATAATCCTTGTGGTAGTATAAAGCTATTTCAATATCATCCCTGAAGACTTTAAATTATCATTGGTTGACTTTACACACTGTGTCTCTTCAGAAAGAGAAGATACTACAAATATATGTATTTATATACAAAATACAAACCTTTCAAGACTATATATGTTCTTAAGGCTATGCTTCTCTATATGTCCTTCTCCCTGTTTTAGTTCAGACTGACAAGCTGTTAAGTCTAGAGCAGCCTTTGGTCAAGACTAGATATAGCATTGTGAAGCACCTATTTGGCTTTTAACTTAATAGAGATTACTGTTAGTAAAGCCTAGTTTAAATTCACTACTTGTTGCTCATGTATTTTGACAAAATACTGGAAACACAATTTTTAACATGCTCAATTGCTTTAATGAACTACTAAAACACAGCACATGCTTCCCTCTGCCAGTCAGCCAGGCATTTGCTGTGTATTCACTGGGATAAAGTTGACCAGAACTTCTGAAATCTAATATTTCAGCCACTATATGATTTTTCTTGTCTCTCCTAGAGAGGCAAGATGGAAATCTAGCTGTGTCAATAAGGTCACTTACCTCAACTAACTTGTTGGCGTGTTCACGGAAGACCTGAGCATACTCCTTCACTTCTTTCTCATTCCCACTTTTTGCAGCCTCAATGAGAACCAGTAACGGGACATTGGTCTCCAGGAATGAATCCGATATGTGATCCATTACTGCCTTCCGTAGCTGGAAAAGAAAGCAGAGCAGTAAATAGAGGAGAATTATCAATATACATTCTCATTATTCATTTGCTATTTATATTTAAGCATCTCACAGCACTCTAAGGGAGTTTGGAATTTTTCTTTCTTTCCTCCAAATTATGTATCTCCAGCAAGTATACAAAATGAAACACTTTAGGGCTCTGCAAAACCCTCCTGAGATTCATCCTGACATATGCCTAATCCTACTGGACTCACTGGATCTGTACAGGATGATGGTGATTACCCACATAAGACATTGCAAATTGATGAGAATTGAAAACTCCACACTACTTGAAAAAAACAGTTCAACTCACTCAAAAGCCAAATATGGATTAAAGAGCTTACTTCAGGCAACCATTAAATATATTAGCCTGAATATTTCTAAGGCTTCTGTAATTCCTGCACTGAATAGTATTCTATGCAATAATTAATATTTCATGTAGCAGATGCCTTGTACTTCATATTCTCTTTCAAATACCTTGAACAAGTATAAACAGAAAGCCTTTTATAAGCATTTACCAGGCAGATAATACTACAATTTATTCCAAAGGAAGAAAAACACCACCCTACAGGTTACTGAAGATTTAACACCTGTTACTTTATAAAAACATCTGCTTGAAACAATATTACTTTAAGAATGATGTCACTAACTTCTTCCCTACCTTGCTAATAACCACTAATTAATGTCAAACCTCAATAAAATTTGAGAGACAGCCAGAAAGATGAGTGAAATCTTGAATAATTCTTCCTGGAAGCTTAATTGCTCTGTAGGATTGTGGATCAGAAACATTTTGAGCATGTTTTCCCCATCTTTTAGGTTGCTAAGAACAAGAAACTGTGGACCCAAACACAAGCTGGGAACTATTCAGCCTGGAGGCCTGCGTAGCCATTAGTCTCCTTAAATTATGCATTTTTAGTTAGATGAAACATCCAAAAAGGCAATTTCCTCTATTTTGCAATCCAGACAAGAAACTTTTAGCTAGACAAGGTGTCATCAAAACACCCAATCATACTCAAAACTGGTATATTGTTAGGCAGTGTAATACACAACACAAGATGCATTTGCAGTTTGATGTCAGCAATTCTCAGCTCCATTTGAATAAGGGGAAACCTAACTTTGAATATTTTCATTCAATTCCTGAATGGTGCAGTAAAAATAAGCAAAGCAAAAGAGGATCTATGTGTTTGTATAAGGTATTCCTTTTATTTCGATCACAGCTAAAGCAGTCAGTGTATTAAGAACAGGAATTCTCATTTTCCCTTCAAAATTAATTCTACTCAGATTCTACCTGGAAAGCTTTTTTTTTGACCACTTTCAAAATGATTGAAGGGCCTCAGAATAGCTAAGTCAGTAACACATACAAACAGGGGGAGGAAAAAAGATGCAAAAAAAGAGAAGAAGAATCTATCAGAGACCTGCCAACAGTTAGGAAGCTCGTGTGTGGCTGCTACCACCTATTACATTTCCATCTTGTACTCTATTTTTTTTCCCTCATCAATCTGCTACTATCCACTTGCTGACTCTTATTTTATTCTTATATTAAAAGCTCTTTCAGACAGTCCTGTGGGAATGTTTGCACAGAATCTCATACAATGAGATCCTGATCCATAAATAGTTTTCATAGGTACCATCTCAATATAAAGCTAATATTGCTCCAAAGATATCAAAACATTGCCAAAAATATACAAGGTGACAAGTGTCAGTGCCCTGCATTCTGTACCTGATAGATTTCCAATCGCTACGTGTAACAGTCCTCTGACTTCTAACTTTAGGCACATGGTGATTCCCTTTCAGCTCAGGATATTCAGAGAATCATAGAATCAACCGGGCTGGAAGAGACCTCAAAGATCATCAAGTCCAACCCTACTGTGGTTACTGGACCATGGCACTAAGTGCCACGTCCAGTCTCATCTTGAAAACCTCCAGGGACGGTGAATCTACCATCTCCCTGGGCAGCCCATTCCAATGCCTGATAACTCTTTCCATACAAAATCTCTTCCTAATATCAACTGAAACCTCCCCTGGCAGAGCTTGAGTCTGTGCCCTCTTGTCCTACTGTTAGTTGCCTGGGAGAAGAGACCAACCCCCACCTGACTACAACCTCCTATTCTGTGGTTCCCTGCTAAATGAAGGATTTCACCTATAGCCAGCATTAAGGGAGAGATACTGCCAGAGCAGGTGCACCATAAATTTGCACAATCACCTTTTGCATATGTCCATCTCCCAGTCCTTGCTGGGAAACTACTACCAAGTCAGATGCCTCACTGGTGTACCTACAGTTAGACTTTGATGCCCATTGTACCAAAAGAGGCCAAAGAGTAGCATTTCCAAAGGAGCACACAAAGGTTTTAAAAATCCCATGTGGTTTCCAAGTCATTCTCAGAGAAAAAAATCCTTTAAAAATTCCACTTGCTCAAGTTCAATGTAAGTTAGTGAAACCTACTGTCCACTGCACTGAAAAAACTTACTTTAAGTGCTAAATGAACACTGACATTTCTCTGTTTGTATTGCTCTGTAAGGAGGTATCTGTTCCAAAGGTTGTATTCAATGAACAAGCAATTCAATTTTTAATCAGAGTTGATGTGGTGTTATAGATCTGGTTATAACAATGTACCCTATGGAATTGCAAGAAACGTCTAAAGATGTTCAAGTTAGCAGCTTATGTTCATGAGTATTAAACACCTTCGGCCTACAGTCACATACCAGAAATCAACAAAAAAAGGACAGCAAGAGCATCAGCTAACCAGCAATTTAGGGTTTACCATAATAGATATAGAGTTCTATCTGAATCAAAATGAATGAATAAAATGGGTATCCTGTTTCTAATGGTAACTGTGTGTTGCCTTCTGATGTTCATAATTGCAGCATCTCAAAATAAAAATTTGAATTCTGACTGTTACAGGTTTGATAAATACAAAATTAACCAACTCTATTTACCTCTGCTGTGTTAATCATAGATGCCAGTAGCATATTTCTGACCCCTCTTGTAAACAGGCATTATAATTTCTTTAGAAATGTGTTATCTGAGTTTTAGGACGCCCTTGCATTGAAGTTGAAAGGTATAGTTAATGGGTTTTATGTACGCAGGAGACCACAAATTTTGCTATCCTTCACCACAAGCTATAAAGAATGACTTGACAAAATCATTTGTTAAATGTGACAGGAGTATGAAGGCAAGACATTCATCCAATAGCTCAAATGGATACATGACAAGGTATTATTAATGGCACAAGACAGGACATTTAAAAGTATTGGCTCACCATTACCAGTCTATTTGATCCAATTAGGGCTATTCATCAAGGTAAATAACTACTGGAAAACTAATCTCGTATGTTCCTCTGCATACTGCAATGAAGTCCAGCCACAGTGATGCCTTATGCATCCAGAGATTTCACTGTTTCATATAACATCAGTTTAGAAAGGAAAAGGAGAAGTCTGTGACTGGAATTTAAATGGCCATAAAACAAGCAGCAAAAGCATGTCATGCTTTATTCCAAAACCAACACGAGAGCTTGTGCATGTATGTACATTAAAAATTGTCTTTGTAATGTCTTAATTTATGCTGAATTCTGAGGTAAATATTATGACACAAAGTATTACTCATAAGACAATGCTTCAGGTTTCTCCCTTCACTGAATTTTTAAGTCAGAGGTGAATTCTAAGCGTGGGTAGTCTCCACTACATGAAACTCCATTTGTTCGAGGAGGAAGGACATTAAATTAAGGTCTTGCTTAATTTGTTTTGTCATGGAGAAGACTTTATTAATGAACATAAAGATGAAAGAAAAATAAATTTGCCAAAATTTGTCAGATCATCAAAAAATACAGAAAACCACAACAAGACCTGCAAATATCTTTAAAAGCATGAACTGTGTACCACAAGGCAGATTTTATGTCTTTCCAGTTCAGTCAATTTAGTCAGTTTATGGTGCACAGTCAAGTTGCTGTTTTTGATAGCATCATGTTCTACTGTTCTAAACACTATTTAGGGCTGTTTTATCATTGTCGGTTCACAGCTATAATTGAGCTCAAAGAGGTTAAATGCCCACCAAAATGATGTTTTCCATGGCTATATAACAATTTTAGAACCAAAATGTCTCAGTGCTACTTACAGTCTAGTAGAGAATTAAATGTCTAATTCTGGAAGGTAAAGTCACAGCAGGAGATTAATGACTCTAACAGATTGTTAAACTTTATAAAGCCTGGCAGTATAAAGCTATCTGTAACAAAAGTTTACCAAGGAGCACCTTATTCACCATTTTCCATTTAATGTGCATTGCAACCCAACTCCAGTTTGCACCTGCAGAGCACTCCCAAACAGGTATTAATTTAATTGAAAGGGCTGAAAAATAAAGCCTTCTCTACTGCAGTGAAAGTGTGTCACATCCAATATGCTGTGAAATAGAGTTCTGGAGAATAAGGCAGTGACACTATACAGCTGCTGCAGTATAGTGTTGAAGAGAAAGTCTCAGTCAATTCTGCACATTCAGTCACATGAGGATGTGACAAAAAAATGGTAGATTGAGAGATGTAGATGGCAATGCCATGAAGTATGTCTTGACAGATGAAACAGCAAAAATATTAACATTTAAAGTACGTATTGCACTTGGACACTCAACCTACAGACTTCCGGAATATATTAAATAAAAATATTTAAGATTTGGGGAAGAAATGCTGTTACTAAGATGGACAATACTTCACAGCATCAAAAAATGGCCTGGAAGGGACCTCTAAGATGGACAATACTTCACAGCATCAAAAAATGGCCTGGGTTGGAAGGGACCTTAAAGACAATCTAGTTCCAACCCATGCCATGGGCAGGGACACCTTCCACTAGACCAGGCTGCTCCAAGCCCCACCCAACCTAGTCTTGAACACTTCCAGAGATGGGGCAACCACAGCTTCTCTGGGCAACCTGCGCCAGTGCCTCAAAACCCTCACAGGGAGGAATTTATTCCTAGTATGTAACCTAAACCTGCCCACTGT